TGTTCAGTCTGAAATCAATGATATGGATTGGGAAAGTACCTTCTTCTTGCGCCATCTTCCAGCTTCAAACATGCATGAAATTCCTGATCTTGAAGATGACTACAGGTTCCCCTTCTCTCCCAAGTCCAGATTTTTTTTAATCTGATTGATGAAAATATCGAAAACCCAGAAGAAAAAAATGAAATTAGAGAAATGGGTTCTGTTGTTTTTCAAGTTTCTGATTTGGGCTTGTCTGGGTTGATTGTGGTGAAAACAGGAAGGCAATGAAGGAGTTTGCAGTGGGGCTGCAGAAACTTGCAGAGCAAATGTTAGACTTGTTGTGTGAGAATCTTGGGTTAGAGAAAGGGTATTTGAAGAAAGTATTTTATGGGTCAAAGGGTCCTAATTTTGGGACAAAGGTTAGCAACTATCCTCCATGTCCTAAACCAGATCTTATCAAGGGACTCAGAGCCCACACAGATGCAGGTGGCATCATCTTGTTGTTCCAAGATGACAAGGTCAGTGGCCTCCAGCTCCTCAAGGATGACCAGTGGGTTGATGTCCCTCCCATGAAACATTCCATTGTCATCAACCTTGGTGATCAACTTGAGGTATACATTTTTTTAATTATAAAGATTATTATATTTGTGGTGTATATTATATATATCACCCACATAAGCAAATTCTTAACTTGGGTTTAATTATATTATATTGGTAATTAACTTCTTAACAATATTATTCCTGTAATGATGTGATGCTATTTGTATTATTATACATGTCACTTGCTCTTAGATTTACTGTAAACCCCGTAAAGCTGCTTTTCTATATTAAAGGGGTCCATTTTCCTTTTTGTTTAAGCAACTTAAGGAATATATTGAGATTTTCTATGCAATAATTTCTGGGTTCCTTTCTGGTTCAGCATTGTCCCCTTTCTGTACTATAAAAGAGAATCCAAATAGGAACTAATTTTTTTTTTATTTGAATTTGATAAAATTTTAAATCACTAACATTCTTATTATTATTATTTTTTTGGTTGTTTATATAGGTGATTACTAACGGTAAATACAAGAGTGTAATGCACAGAGTTATAGCACAGACAGATGGGAACAGAATGTCACTAGCCTCATTCTACAATCCTGGAGATGATGCTGTGATCTACCCAGCACCATCTCTGGTAGAGAAAGAAGCAGAGAAGAATCAGATTTACCCAAAATTTGTGTTTGATGATTACATGAAACTTTATGTTGGGTTGAAATTTCAGGCTAAGGAGCCAAGATTTGAAGCCATGAAAGCCATGGAGTCTACTGTAACTCCTGGTGCCATTGCAACTGTTTGAAAGAAAGAAGAAAAAACCCTTCTTAGAAACTCAAAAAAAGGAAAGCTGGGTTTTACTCTTTTATGTGTTGGGTGTGTTTGTGTTGGTGAAAATTAATACTACAAAAATGATGTGCCTTTTTTTCTTACTGTTCTTTTACCTTTTAGTGTCAAGGAATTATGCCCTAATCATGGTGTTTGGAAGTTGATTGGCTTAGCAAGGAACTTACTAGCTTAAAATAACCCTATGGGTTTCTGTTGTGCTTTCTGTGTGTAATGTATTCTGTCTAGTGGCCTTTGGTGGGTTTCTGTTGTATAAAGTAATAATTTTAAGATTCTAATTATGCTTTTCTTTTAAGTATGATTTGTTTTATCATGTCTTTCCAACTTAATTTAATGTTTAATTGATTCATATTAATTATTACTATACCTATAAAATGTCGATAAAAAATAAAATATTTTTAAAATACAAATGAGTCGATGAACTTTACAAATGTAATTGATTTTATCATATTTATAAAGTTTGTCAATTCATTTATATTTTTAAAATACTTAAAAGTTAATTGATTATTATTATTTTTTTAAATAAAAAAAAATTTAAGTCAATTCTTTTAACTCGTTATGATTATAGAGTGTTCTTTTCATCTAAGTATTTCATAATTAATTGGAATCGACAAAGACCAACTTGGTCACGACAACTCTACCAACACATTGAACTAAGTTCTTAATTTTGTCAAATCAAATATATAAACCAACGATTACCAACCTATAATACACTCACAGAGTAATAAGTTCTATATTTTCAATAATATAAAAAATTTAACAACTAAACTGTCAAGTCGAACCAACCACTGTCAACATATAATACATTCACAAAATAATAAGTTCGATACTCTCAATAAAATTTAACTTTCAAACATATGAACCAACTTATAATAACTACTGTCAACCTAAAATACACTAAGCTCTTAAGTTTGTTAAATCAAACATACGAATCAACTACTGTTAACATATAACACACTCACAAATTAACAAGTTCTGTATTCTCAGTAAAATTCAAACTCGTAATTCTCAAATATAATATAAAAAATTTAACATCTAAAACTATCACGTTGATATGCTAAAAGTGTTTCGGAGCATTTTGCTAAAAAAAACTAGTTGACCAAATGAGAATTGCAACTTTTATAAGTTGGGAGAGAATAGTATTTAAGGTAAAAAAGTATGGAAAAATAGCCTTCTACTTTTTTGTTGAGAAGGAAATGTTCTTGATGCTTCATCTTCTTCCTTTTCTTATTTCTTTTTTTAATTTTTCTACACAAATTCTTTTTATCCTCATCTGCAAATTTGTTGGCCTCATCTCATCAAACCAGTTTCAGAAAGTGGAATACTGATTGAACCCACTTCAACACCACCAACCAAATCTTGTGGTGACATCAAATTTCTACATATATTTATTTGATTTGTCAAAGTGAAAATCTATATATATTATATGGTTTAGATAAATATATATACATTAATCATAACTACAATCATCTAATGAGAACCCATGAGCTGTACCAATAAAAAAAGAAGATGAAAATAAATACTGATAGCTCTTGTTCACATCCACATGCACATACAAAATGTGACTTATACGTCTGCATAGAGAATGTGGTAGTCAATTTTTTTCCCCCTTAAAGAAGTTCATATTCGGGGGCAAACATTACTTGTACAGTGTATGTATGTATATGAATGGATATGTAAAAGCACTGAGGCAAGTACCAATAGTTAGATGAGAATAAGGGCCACCAGCATCTCAGAAACAAAATAGACAAGAGCAAGTACGAAGTGTAGCTTTCAATATAGACCACCAGAGTAAGTGATTCAAGAGAACAATATGATCTCTTTCAGATAACGATGGCCTGTTTGGAATGAGAGAAAAGAAAGGAAAAGGAGAATTCAATATTGTTTTCTCTCATCTTAGTAATCTATCTCCATTCAATGTATTATACCACAGCAATTACTTTGTTTCTTTCTAAATAAAAAGTGTAACCCTTATAATATATCTATAGCACCAAAAGGGTGCAATCCATTTACCAAATGTTTTTTATTCTGCAAAATTATCAATGACATATCCAAAATCTTCCATTATGTAAATGTCATGACCCAAAATCAGAGAATAGAAATAATGTAACTATCTATCCCTGATTTTCCGACAGTTTGCTCTCAACCCCGTCAAATACTTTTCTGTTTCTCTCTTTCCACTCTACCTAAAAAATAGTAAAATGAGTAAGA